AAACCCTACTATGGCCTCTGTGCCTTCAGCCTCCCTCCCAGCTGCCTCTGGATGCAGTGACGCTGCCCCTGTGGACATGCTTGGAAGCCCTGCTGTGGCCTCTGTGCCTTCAGCCTCCCTCCCAGCTGCCTCTGGATGCAGTGACACCACCCCTGTGGATGTGCTGATGAGCTGGGGATTGACTGCAAAGGAATAAAGGAGGGAGGTGCTCCATCCTGGGATGGCATGTGAAAGGCATGCAGTCCTTGTCTGGGGAATCAGCACGCTACTGTGGCAAAGGCATTTGCTGAGCAGTTTGGCCACTTATGGACTGGAGGACCTTTGTTTACTTGGCTTAACTGCTTTTTGGTTTCTTGTAGTTTCCTCAATAGCATGTAAAGGCTTGGAGGAAGGAGATGTGAGAGGCTGAGGAGCGGTGGGTAGTCCTGCAAGCTATCAGACAGCGGATGCCAGGTGGACCCCACATGTGTATCGTAGAGACTTTCCCAAATCTGTCACTCCAAAGTGCAGCTTTTTGGGCACCATTATTGTCAGTCATCTTTATACGAGGCTCTGGACCGTAAGCATTTTGAGAGGGTGTAAAAATGGCATCAGGCTTTTCCCAAAATTCCCTTCTGAGGAAACTGGTAGCATTTCAGGTATGGCTGCGACACTCTGGGGGAAGCATGACGTAGGATTCCAGAATCGTGCTGGCAAAGCGTGGTGGGGTTGGGTTCTTGTTTCCTTCTCCATCTTGACCTGGCCAATCATTGGATCCCAAAGATGAGGTAAAGGCAAGACTAAAGCAAGTACTGTCAGGCCAGAAAGAGGTTGTGGAGATCAGGGAGGGGCCTTCAAATCACTGTGGCCTGCTGTATCAGATTGTGTGCCCTCTTGGGGAGAGAGGCCAAGAAGGGAGGGGGAGAAAAATTTCAAACTCAGAAGCTTATGGAAGTGATTGTTAATAAATCAACATAAATTAATTTAAAAAAAAATCACTGTGGCCTAGCTGAGGGCAAGGGGCAGATAGGCCTCGAGGACTTAAAGGAGGTCAGTAGCCTTCATTTGTCAAAGATTGGGTTGGATCGATCTCTGATATCCTTGATGGCACTACAATCTTACTGTGTTCTCATTGTGCCCACACTCAAGGACCTCCCAATCTGCTTGGAGAGGCAAAGTGAAGCCTTGACTTCTCAGAGCTCTAGAAGCAGTTGTTTGTGAGCCAGCACTGCCTTAGCTGTTGGATTAAAGTGTCCACACAAGCTGAGCACTGTGAATGAATTATCAGGTATAAAAGAGACATTTCTCTTTGTTTCAGATTTGGCAGGCCATCTTGACTTAGCTAATGTGCGTCACTCCAGCTTTTGCTGGCATTAGAAGATTTGAGTTTTGTACTGAAAAAATCCAAAATACATTGGATAGATCAGATGAATGGATGTGCCAACTTCCATCTGGCT